GTGATCGGCCATCCACCACCCCCGCCCGGGGTTCCCGACGGTTCCCTGTCAGGTTTCAGGTGTGAAGTGCGCATGAGGAAATTTGACAGATATCCGACGAGATTAAGAAGTTTCAAGGCACTTTTTGACTAATACCCACCTATTCGGAAATAATGCTTCATACATGTTATGTTGGGTACTTTAAATTGTGGTTTTGCGGGCGTGCTGATTTGGGAGAGATCATTTCTTGCCGAGTCTGTCCCTCGTCACAGAGCGGCTGAGGTTGGCAGGACCTCTGGAGATCATCTGGTCCACCCCACCCCACCCCCCCGCTCGATCAAAACCACCTACAGCTGGTTGCCTAGGACTGCATCCGGTTGGGTTTTGAATATCTCCAAGGACAGAGGCTCCACAGCCTCCCTGGGCAGACGGGTCTGGTGTTCAACCACCCTCACAATGAAAATGTGTTTCCTTATGTTCAAGTGGAATTTCCTCTATTTCAGTTTGTGCCTGTTACCTCTCATCCTGTCCCAGGGAACCACTGAGAATAGCCTGGCTCTCTCTTCTTGTTGGCCAAGAAGGCCAACAGCATCCTGGCTTGTATCAGGAACAGTGTAGCCAGTAGGACCAGGGAGGTGATTTTCCCCCTGTATTCGGCACTGGTGAGGCCGCATCTTGAGTACTGTGTTCAGTTTTGGGCCCCTCACCACAAAAAGGACGTTAAGGTGCTGGAGCGTGTCCAGAGAAGGGCAATGAAGCTGGTGAGGGGTCTGGAGCACAAGTCTTATGAGGAGCAGCTGAAGGAACTGGGGTTGTTTAGCCTGAGAGGAGGAGGCTGAGGGGAGACCTTATTGCTCTCTACAACTATCTGAAAGGAGGTTGCAGAGAGGCGGGAGTTGACCTGTTCTGTCAAGTAACAGGTGATAGAACAAGAGGAAATGGCTTCAAGTTGTGCCAAGGGAAGTTTAGATTGGATATTAGGAAGAATTTTTTTACTGAAGGGGTCATGAGGCATTGGAATGCATTACCCAGGGCAGTGGTGGAGTCCCCATCCATGGAGGTATTTAAGGGTCACGTAGATATAGTGCTCAGGGACACAGTTTAGTGGTGGGCTTGTCAGTATTAAGTTAATGATTGGACTAGATGATCTTACAGGTCTTTTCCAGTCTAGGAGATTCTGTGATTCTTCATTCTGTCTTCTCAATTCCTTCCCATCA